AGCTGAGCCCCCAAGGTCCTTGGGCCCATGGAGCTAGGCCTCTATCTAGTTCCCCCCTCCCCCACCCATAGCTGGCCTATGGGACTGTCCAATTTAGTCCCTGTGGCAACGGTTGCCAGGGTCATGTGATTCCCTGGGGCAGTGGGAACATTCCATCCCCTGGCAGTTGGGGGGGATGTGGGGCTGGTGCCAACGGAACATACCATTCTATGGCCACGTCCAAGGCCGCCTTTCGGGGCATGCGGGAGAAGCTGAGCCCCCTGCCCAGCCTACTCCTCCAGCTGATGACCTATGTTGTGGGGCCCTGTGCTCCTACAGTGAGTCCACTGGGCAGGGCAGCACACAAGGAGAAGGCCCTGTGCCCTCAGCCAGCCAGGTGGGCCTGTCACCCTCAGAGAGCCAGCCCCTGGGGAACCCCTGAGGAGCAGGAACTCAATCTGCCGCCTCCCCCCAGGTCACCATGGACCGAATGAAAAAGATCAAGCGGCAGCTTTCCATGACACTCCGGGGAAGCAGGCCTCCAGAGAAGAGCAGCGGCTCTGAGCAGATCAACATCGAAGACAGCAACTGCAGTGACAACGGTGAGGCCAGGCCGCAGGGGCTTCTGGGGGCCGGCTGGGCTCTCCCTTCGGATTTGGGTGATTGGTTTTCTCCATTTTCTTCCTTTCTGTGTGCTTCGTGCTACTCCTACTTGTTCTCCCTCATCTGTTACCCACCCTCCCTTTGGCTTTGCTCCCTGGCCCAGGCCCTAGCCCTGGTGGGAGGAAGGGCGCCTTGCCCTCATCCCACAGCCTGCTACCCACGGTTCGCCTGCCCCCCCGAGCCTCCAGGAGCCTGCCCGCCCTGGGCCCAACTCCCCGGGCACCCCGGCAGCCTCCGCCACCACCGGCCCGCCGGCCTCGGGCCACTCGCAGTCTCAGCTCCCCACTGGACCATGGCACCAGACTAGGTGACTATATGCCCCCCAGCTTGGCCTGCTGAGGCCTGGCCCATCCTGTCTGTGGCCTCTGCCCTCCAGCCTGGTTCTAGGCCTTTGCCTTCTACAAAGGTCCAGCTCCCCAGAGTGGTCTTGGGGCACCGACTGTCTGAGGACCTTTGAGGCCATTGTGTGATAGGGGGGAGGGGGAAGGAGAAGGGAAAGGGAAAGAAAGGATCCCTGTGGCCCCTGAGCCGACCCCTACTCCACCCCAGAGATTGTGCACGAAGACCTGAAGATCGGTTCAGATGGGGAGAGTGACCAGGCCTCAGCCACATCCTCTGATGAAGTGCAGTCACCTGTGAGGGTCCGAATGCGAAACCATCCAGCCCGCAAGATCTCTACTGAGGTAGGCTTGGCCAGAGATGGCAGGCTGGCGAGAAAGGGCTGCCCTGTCCAGTTACTTACTGATCTTAATGTCTCACAAGCCACCTCTGTCTGGGCTTGGTCCCATACCTCTGTCTGCTCTGAAGCATGACCCTTCTTGCTCTCCCTTCTTACTTTGAGACAAGTTCCTGGACTAACTTGGGAAGACCCAGCTGGCCAGTAGACTGTCTTTTACATCTAACTGGAGGTGGCACGTGGCACCAAGCCTTTGGCCCTGGGGGGCTCCAAAGTATCATTCCCCCCCGGCTTTGAAGCTTTGAGCTCACAGTTAGTCAGATTCTCTGCATTCTTGCACTTTTCTAGAGAAACCTACCTCAGAGTACCCCTGTAGGCCTTCCCTGAGCCTCCTGGAACCTGAAGCCCCCTCACTTTTCCCCAACCCTTAAAGGATGAAATTCTCTTCCTGCTCGCCCCTCTGGTTTGAGGGCACCTTGTGCCCATAGACTCTCAGAGAGACTTCAGGGAGGGCCTTTGGAGGTTGGTTTGGTCTGTCGGGACCTGACCAAGAAGAGTCTGTCGTCCGTCCCCCCCCCCCCCAGGTTTCACTGGAAGGCCTCTAGTGCCAGTGAGAGGTAGGGAGGAAGAATGGGGCAGGATGAGCTTCCCTGCCTTGTCCTGATGGTTTGTGACAAACTCATGGTTGCATCCTTTGCTGTCCTGGAAGTTTTTGGAGTTTGGCCATTCCCTGGCCCAAACACAAGCAGGGTATTCTCCTGTCAGCCTCTCTGATTGCTAGGCGCCGCCTGAACTGTCCTCTCAGCTCCATGTTTTTTTTGCCCATCCCCACCCCCAGCAGAGACTGACCCCCTTTTCTACCTCTTGAATCTCAGGACATCAACAAGCGCCTCTCCCTACCTGCTGACATCCGGCTGCCTGAGGGCTATCTGGAGAAGCTGACCCTCAATAGCCCGCTCTTTGACAAGCCCCTGAGCCGGCGCCTCCGCCGGGTCTCCCTGGTGAGGAGCGGCTTGCCAGGAACCCTTGGCCTCTGTGGGTGCTGGTCCCATCTTGGTCCTTCCTTGTCGCCATTGTCCCTTCCCGCAGTCCCTGGGCTCCTTTGCATCTGCTTTTATCTGACCCCTTACCTTTTCTCTGTAGTCTGAAATTGGCTTTGGCAAGCTGGAGACGTATGTGAAGCTGGACAAACTGGGGGAGGTGAGGAGATGGAGTGGAGTGTGTGTGGGGAGGGAAACCTTGGGGAATGTGAGCCAGTGGCCTGATTGCCCCCTCCCCTGGTCCTCAGGGTACCTATGCCACTGTATATAAGGGGAAGAGCAAGTTGACGGACAACCTGGTGGCCCTGAAAGAGATCCGCCTGGAGCATGAGGAGGGTGCCCCCTGCACCGCAATTCGAGAAGGTGCCAGGGAAGGACAAGGAGGGGAGGGTGGCAGGGAACACAGTGTCACAGTCCTGAGGACCTTGAAGCCCATGCCTCTCTTCCCCTCACGTTCTCCCCTGCAGTGTCGCTGCTGAAGGACCTGAAACATGCCAATATTGTCACCCTACATGACATCATTCACACAGAGAAATCCCTGACTCTGGTCTTTGAGTATCTGGTAAGATAGGGGAGGCCCCAGGGCTTGGGGAGAATCTAGTCAGAGTTCAGGTTAACACAGGCTGATTCTCCCCTCTCTTCTCCCTCAGGACAAGGACCTGAAGCAGTACCTGGAAGACTGTGGGAATATCATCAACACACATAACGTCAAGGTCTGTGGGAGGGAGACCTTGCCCCCCTGCTCCCCAGCCCTCCAGCCAGGACTCAGCCTTCAAGGCCTCTCCTTGTCTCTGTTCCCCAGCTCTTCTTGTTTCAGCTGCTCCGGGGCCTGGCCTACTGTCATCGGCAGAAGGTGCTACACCGTGACCTCAAACCGCAGAACCTGCTGATCAATGAGCGTGGGGAGCTCAAGCTGGCAGACTTTGGTATGCCTGGCTCCAACCTTAGCCTGGGCTCAGGGCTCTTCCCTCCCCACCCCCGCCAGCTCCCACTGTTTTCCTGCTTCTATTCTTGCCCCTACTCTTCCCCCTCCCCAGCCCGGTCCCCCAGATCTTGCCCCAAAGTGCTCAAGTAACCTAAGCTCTAATGTTTCTCAGGCCTGGCCAGGGCCAAGTCTATCCCAACCAAAACATACTCCAATGAGGTGGTGACACTGTGGTACCGGCCTCCAGACATCCTGCTGGGCTCCACGGACTACTCCACTCAGATAGATATGTGGTGAGGCCCAGGGTGAGGAAGGGGAGAGGGGGGAGCAGCCCCTTGTGGCCCTGGGGCCTCAGCCAGGCCCTCTCTCTGTACCCTAGGGGTGTGGGCTGTATTTTCTACGAGATGGCCACAGGCAGGCCCCTCTTCCCTGGCTCTACAGTGGAGGAGCAGCTGCATTTCATCTTTCGGATTCTGGGTGAGGGCTACGTTGGGTTGGGAGGGGAAGCAACTCCACTGGCAGGCTCCTCAACTGACTTGTCTTTGTTGGACACCCCCTCCAGGGACCCCCACTGAAGAGACTTGGCCAGGAATTTCATCCAACGAGGAGTTCAAGAATTACGACTACCCCAAGTACCGGGCTGAGGCACTGCTGAGCCATGCACCCCGGTGAGAGCCTGGTGGGGCAGGGCTGGTGAGAAGGGGACAGGAGGAAAAAAGGGGGGTGGACCTGGGACTAAGGCTTCTCTTTGTTCCTGCTGCAGGCTGGACACCGATGGGGCAGACCTCTTGGCCAGACTACTGCAGGTAAGGAAGGGCCTGCAAAGGTTATGTCAGCCATGGGGGCTGCCTGAAGCAGGGGCAGGAAGAATGAGTTGGGGGGTGGGGGGGCAGGAGAGAAGGGAGTCTGTTTTTGGTCCTGAGGGATAACCCAGAGGAAGGGAACCCTTAGAGCTAAGTGTACTTGTTGGGGGAGGATGGGAAGCAGGGCCTTGACTGACTTGCTCATGGGGCTTCATTGTCAGTTTGAGGGACGGAATCGGATCTCTGCAGATGACGCCATGAGACACCCCTTCTTCCAGAGTTTGGGGTCAAGAATCCATAAACTCCCTGACAGTGAGTGGGCTGGGGCTAGTTGGGAGGGGGATGCATTTGGCTCCAGCTTGGCCTACCAGGGGACTCCAAATGATGCCTCTTGGCCTCTCTGCTCTTTCTGCAGCTACTTCCATATTTGCACTAAAGGAGATCCAGTTACAGAAGGAGACAGGCCTTCGCTCTGCCTCCCTCACAGACTCGGGTGGGTGTGGCCCCCACCCTCTGGGCCCCTCCAGCTGTGGGCCAGCTGGCTCTTCCCAATAGCTCTCTGCTTCCCCCCACAGGCAGGCCAGCCTTCCGGGTGGTGGACACCGACTTCTAGGTCCTTGGGGCAGCTGGCTTTGAGAAGGTGCTGGTGACTGGCTGGAGGTTGAGGCCTCCGAAGGCCCATCCAGGCCGCTGGGAGGAGGGCTGCTGTGGAGCCAGTCTTGCTCTCTACCTACCCCACCCCACCCCACCCCAGCACAGTTTGCACCTCGCCGCAGCCGCTGCGCCCCTCCACTAACCTGCCTGCTCCTGGCTCAGCTGCCTCTCCCCCCCCCTCCATTCTCCTACAACTGACTTTTGTGGAAGGGTGCTAACAAAGCTCTTCCCTCCCTCCGCTGTCTGGCTGTCTGTTTGTCTGTTTTTCTCCAGTCATCGGACAGCATGGCTGGGGCAGCCTCTGGCTCCGAGGCAGCAGCCCCCGATGACTCTCCCTTCTCTGCTCAACTCCCCCGGCAGCCCTGAGGAGAGGGAGGGAGATGGGGAGGGAAGGAGGGAAGGAGGCAGGCCAAGGCCCCTGGGACCTCCGTAGCAGGGGTGATCCAGCCCCACTTCAAAATGGCCTACCATGGCCCCAGCCTCCTGCGTCTCCTCGACCCACTCATCCCTTTTTTAAAAAAAAAATATTATTTTGAATGAGGATTTTATTTTTTAAATGTAATATCTGTAACATGCAGAAAGACTGGGCCTGCCCCGTTCCCTACGTAGGCCCCCAGTATTTGTGCAATGAATGCCCCCCACCTCCCTAGCCGCTGGCCAATCAGGAGGCTGGGACCTTGGCCCCGCTCCAGCCCCACCCCTCCTTCCCCCCCCCCCGCAGCCTGGGGCTCCTCAGAGGACCCAGGGGCCGAGAGAGGGGTGGGGTTCTTTCCCGCAGCTCTCCGCTAGGGGCTCGAGAGGTGCCAGAGGGCCAGGTCTGGGATCCCGCCGGGCTGGCTCCGCCCTTTCCCCCCCGTGGTCCCCATCTCGGTGTCCCGAATCGACGCTCCGCCCCTGCTCACTTCCCCCCACTCTGTCGGTGCTGATGGGCAGACAACGGGCCCCGGGAGCCGGTGCGGGGGGAGTTGGGGGGGGCGAGAAGGAGGGCCTCCCAGATCGGGAAGCTGGGGCCCGAAGCCCCTGGACGGTTCTTCCCTCCCCTCCGTCGCCTCGGCCCGCGCCGGCCCGGCCAGTGCGGGGCGGGGCGTTGGCTCCCGCGCGGGGGGCGGGGGGAGGGGGGCTCGGCTCCCCTATACACCCTGGTCGCTGTATGAACTATTAAAGGCTCAAGTGAAGGCGAGCGAGCGAGCGAGCGAGCGTGCGTGCGTGCGTGCCTGCCTCCGTCTGTTTGTCTGTCCGCCCGCACGGCGACGGCTCGCGTTCGTACCGCCTACCCCAGGGCCCGCCGACGCGGCCCTTTTCCGCACACCACGAGGCGGGCGCATGGAGGGCTGCTCGGCCGGCACTGATTAGGCGCCAGCTGCGTGCGGGGGGGAGGGGAGCGGAGCGGAACGCGGGTCCGAGCGCTCGTGGAGTGGCCAAGGCCCCAGCCCCAGCCGCGCGGACTCGGTAGCCAGAGCCCGAGCCCCAGCCCTCGGGGCGCAGCGACGACCAACGCCGAGCGGCGCCGGCCAGCCGTCCCTCGGCGGGATTCTGACGTCGGGGGTGGGGCGCCTGGCGGGCGGGCACTCACTAGGCGGCTGGGCGCCTGGCGGGCTGTGGCGCGGTGCACAGCCTCGTGCGGGCCCAGAGCTGCTGCGGACGGCGGGGCGGGGCGGAGCGAGGCGCGGCGGCAGCGGCGGCAGCAATAGCGGCGGCGGCGGCGGCGGCGGCGGCACCACCACCACCACCATCACCACCACCACCAAAGGAGCTAGCGAGCCTCAGCCGTCCGGCCCCCCCTCGGGCCCGTACGCCCCGCCGTGCATGGGGAAGCCCCCCGCTGAGCGCCCCGGAGCCAAGAGGCCGCCGGCCCGGCCCCCTCCGGGCCCCGCCCCCAAGCGGGCCCCGGTCCCGGCCGCCACCGCCGCCGCCGCGCCCCGCTCGGCCCCGCTGAGCCCCGGACCCCGCGAGCGCGCGGTTCCCGCCGCTCCCGCCGGCAGCCGTTACTGCGGGCCCGGCGGCGCGGCCCCGGGCCCGGCCTCGGCGCCGCGCGCGCGCCGCCCTCGCGCCCGCCCCGCCAGGGCGCCCGCCCCGCGGAGGGCGGGCCGAGGCCGCGCCGCTTCCGGCCGCCGGGGCGGGCACGCGGTGGCCGGAAGCCGGAAGCGGCGCCGAGGCCGCTTCCGGTCTCCCGCCGCTGAGGCCGAGGCTGAGGGTGTTCGGGCTGCGATGGCGGCCGCGGTGGCGCCGGGGGCGGAGCCGGGCCCGGGGGCGGGGTCGGTGCCGAGCTTGGAGAGCCAGCGGCGGCTGGTGGAGGACGGGGAGAGCGGCCGGGAGCGGCCCCTGCGGCCAGGGGAGAGCTGGTGAGCGAGCGGCCCGCGGCGGCGGCCGACACTCGAGGCCCGAGGCCGGGGAAGGAGGGAGGGGGAGGAGGGAGGGGAGGGGCGAGGCCAGGGGAAGGGGAGGGGCCGAAGCCGGGCGGGGGAGGGTAAAGGGCTTCGTGGGCCGTGGGGGAGGGGGGGGCTGGGGTCTGAGTGACTGAAGAGCAGGCGAGCTGCACGCCAGTCTCTGCCCCTGCCCCTCCCCCTCCCCTCATCTCTCCCTGCTCTCGCCCTCCGCTCCTCCCCCCAGGTTTCTGGTGGAACAACACTGGTACCAGCAATGGGAGGCCTATGTCCGAGCTGGAGACCAGGACTCTAGCGCCTTCCCTGGGCCTGTCAACAATGCTGAGCTCTTCGAAGGTACTGAGGCTTGGCCAGGTCCTCACAGTCCACACACAACCCGCCCGCCCCTGGGGGCCCCTTCTCTTCTCCATCCCTCTCCTTTGTTTCGAGCCACCCCCACCCCCCCAACTCTTTATCCGTAGATGATAACCAGGGCTAGGCTAGGGGCTTTATAATCATGTTCTTATTGGATTCCTGGGAGCTAGCGCCCTTTAGGATCCTGGAGGCACATAAAGCTAGGAAGGGGCTGGAGCTGGATTGACACTGGAATCTCCCTGGCACCAAGCCCTGCATCCACTGCACCCCATCCTTCACCATCTTCCTCTATCTCTGGCCCTTTTCTTCAGACTCCTTCTCTTGGAGGAGAATTCCAGAGATAATCCCTGCTGTCTAAAAGTTGACAATGGGGGTGGAGAAGACAACACCTGTGCTAGTTTCCCAGATGTTTCAGTCGGCAAAGAACACTTAAGCTGTGAGATATCAGTGGGGCAGGTATCTGCAGGCCTGGAGTCAAAAAAAACCCTTCAAATTCAGCTCAAGCTACTTAAGCTGTGTGATTTCAGGCGAGTCACTTTATCTCTGCCTCAGTTTTGTTTTCTGTAAAATAGGGTTAATAACAGTATCAGGGTTGTTGTGAGGATCTGATGAGTTACTCAGTAAAGCATTTAGCACAGTACCTGGCACATAGTAAGTGCTGTGTATGCTTTAGCTGTTGTATCAGAACCCTAACATTTGTAGCTGAGCCTTGAAGGAAGTTAAAGATAGGTTAAAGCCTAAGAAGGCAAAAGGTTGGGGGGGCAGGGGGAGTGAGTGCTTGGAGTACCTGATCTTGAGAAGGCCAAGATATAGAAGGAGTCAAGAAGTGGAAGCCTAGGAAGGGACTTTCAATCCCAGTGAGGAGCTCAGAGTTTCTCCTCAACACAACAGGAAACTTTTTCTAACACCAGAATGACAGGGTTAAACCAATGCTTTCAGAAGACTCTGGGAGGCAGAAAGAGGAGTTTTCCAATCCCTCAGTAGCCGTTTGGTAGCTTTGTGACTCTGGGCAAGTCACAGCCTGTGTCAGCCTCAGTCTCTTCATCTTTAAAAAGGGGGGAGAGTCCCTGCCTATACTTTACAAAAGAGGGAAAGCACATAATTCGCTTCTAGCCACAGCTACTGCTGTGTTTTGAGAAGTAAATTTTATTGGTATATTCTGCTTTTTCATCCTGGTTAGCCCACATATATCTCTCTATCCCGTCTCTCAATTCCAAACTGGAACACACATAGCGAGGGCACCTTAATTGTATAGCCCACCACAGCATTCTGGCCCAGTAGTTCTATGCCTCTCTCCTGAAGACCCAAGTACTTCATCAGCCACCTCTAGAGGACCATGATTGGTTTTTCAGTTACTCAGAGTTCAATGCAGGAAGATTTGGGAAAGTGTATATAGGGCAGATTAGAGGAGAGACAGGTGCAAAGCCAGGAACTCTTATTAGGAGTCTGGGTCTAAGAGTAGAAGAACCTCAGCCAGGGGATGAGAGAGGAGACTTGGTAGCCAAGTGCATGGTGGGAAGGATGAGGACGCCCACAGCAACGAGAACTTGAGGAAAGAGGAAAGGGGCCTCTGGTGAGGCCAACCCTAGAGAAGAGTCCCTTTGTTCTCTGATCCTTTCACCTTCCCTAGTCCAAATTCTTGGTCATACAGCTTTATGGTCCGGCCATTCTTTTTTTCCTATGATTTGAGTCATCTTGTTTCCCTGAGTCCCCTTCAATCCCATCAGGCTTTTCTTTTTTTCTCCAAGTCCATCCCCTCTGTAACCTACGAGTCACATCATGTTCCCCTCCCCCCTCCATACACACATTCCTTTGGTTTCTGGGATATTCATCTCTTTGTCCTCAACCCCCCCCCCTTTCCACACACAGACCAAGAAACCTGGCGCCTGAAGGAACGGCTGGTGGAAGGTGAGGACTATGTGCTGCTGCCAGCCATGGCCTGGCATCTTCTGGTTAACTGGTATGGGCTGGAGCCCGGGCAGCCACCCATCGAGCGGAAGGTAAGGGCCCTTTGTATCCTTACTCTTTCCCAACAAATGGAAAAAGTGTGAATTACCATGGGAAAGATGCTTTGGTCCAAATGAATTTGTAGGCAAATTTTTTCACATCTTTTAAAAGAAAATTTAGTATCTATGTAAACTATCCTCAAAAATTAAGAAGAAAAATCTAATATCAAAATCCTTAAAGAGGCAGATATCGGCCTCATACTCAAACCAAGGAAGGACAAAATAAAGGGAGAGAAAGAATTATAAAATGATACTGTTAAGGAATGTGGGCCCAAAAATTTCTTGCAAAATCCTGCAAGACCACAGCAATTTCTGCAAAGCAGTTTCATGTGCAGACAAGTTAGGTACAAGAATGGTGCTGCTTTTAAAGGACCCAGAGAAGTTGCCTGTCATTTTGAGGATTTGGAGTCCCTAACTGGATGACCCCTTCTCCTTCCTTTCAGGTGGTAGAGCTGCCCAGCACTCACAAGGTAGAAGTATATCTGGTGGAGCTGCTCCTGTGTCAACACAATGATATGGAGATATCTCGGCCTGCCCAATTCAGCCGAGCAGACCCTGTTGGTGAGTACTTATGCCCCAAGCAGGAATGTAGCTGTGCTGTGGAACTACTAGGACTTCTGTTGAGTCTGTGCTCTTCACTGGACTTTGTAGGCTAGGTGCCCTGGGTAATAGAACTGCCCAGTCTTTTTTCCATGAGCAGGAGTTAGCCACTCTTGGCTGGTGTTTTAGTCCCCACTGAGGACTAAGCAGAAGTTTAGCATTCTGAGTGGGGATTGGCTAATGCCCAGGCGCTGGGCCTTCCTTACTGGTCCTCCCAACTCTATCCTCTCCCAGAGTTGGTCCTTCATACAGCCAGGGAACAATTCTTAGTGGGGCCAGAGGAGGAGACACGCCTGTGGGTGAAGAACGCAGATGGCTCCTGTGAGAGACTAAGGAACATACATATGTCTGTGTTAGATGCCTGCCTTGGACCTGGTCAGGTAAGGCCTCTGAACACCTCATTCCCAGAATCCTATGCTTCCCACTAAAGGGTAAGGGGTGCAAAGGAGCTGCCAGAGAGATTCTGAAGGCACAGCTCGCTCTCACTCAGGCCCTGCCACTACCCACAGGTTGTCATCATGGAGACTCGGAATAAAGATGGCACATGGCCTAGCTCCCGGCCTCACATCATGTGAGTGGAGATAGGGCCTGAAGAGGCTCAGGGGCAAGCCAAGGGTGGTTTGGGAGACCTAAATAGTGTCTTTTGAGGGCCTACGAAGAAAGGAATTTTGGGAGTGCTGGAAGGGACCTGAAGGTGAGGGAAAGAGCTCTGGGGATACTTAAGGGGACTTGAGAGCCAAGAAAACTATCCTTTGGGTGTTCTGTTAAACTTTAGATAAAAGGTCATAGGAGTGTCTGAGGGAACCCAAGGGTGAAAGAAGTGTTTTGGGGGGTTGAAAATGGGGATCTTAGGGGTGTTTGTAAACCCTGAGGATAATTGGGAGGTAGGAACACTTGAAGTTGACTGAAGGAGTCTTGGGGTTGTCTGGGAATTCATGAGGCAGGTGTTGACTGTCCTTGGGGCCCCTAGGAAGAGCGTATCAGATGAGGAGGACAGTTTCCGGGGCCAGCCAGGCGTCTGTGGCCTCACCAACCTGGGGAACACGTGCTTCATGAACTCAGCCCTGCAGGTTTGGCCTTGGAGTTGGGGGGAGAGGAGAGTAGGGCAGGGATGGGGCATGTGTGTCGTTCCCCCCCACCCCCCACCCCAGTCTAAACTTGGCTTCCTCCACATCTCCACAGTGCCTGAGCAATGTCCCCCCGCGCTTACGGAATACTTCCTCCACAACCACTACCTAAAGGAGCTGAATTTCTGCAATCCCCTCGGCATGAAGGGCGAGATTGCTGAGGCCTATGCTGACCTGGTCAAACAGGCCTGGTCCGGCCATCACCGCTCTGTGGTCCCCCGGATGTTCAAGGTCATTCTGAGCTTTGCAGCAATTTTCCTTCCATGTTTCCCCACCTCTAGCTGTGGCTCCAAGATAGCCTGATCATTTATCTTGTTCCCTGAATGCCTTCATGACCCTGTAAGCTCCCACATACAGACAGTTCTCAACTGACATGAAGTAGACTATTGTGCAGACCCTCTATGTAAAGTGATTTTTACCTAACCTGGCCACCCACTTCATTTAGCTTCTATAACAAAGGCACACTC